AGAGAGAGAGAGAGAGAGAGAGAGAGAGAAAGAGAGAGAGAGAGAGAATTAATATTACAAAAATCCTTAACACTTTCAAAATTGAAAATGTAATAACTAATAATATAATATATTATCGAACCGTATATAAGATGTATGATAAACTATAGAAATCAAAGTCTTAAACGGTCCAACTGGATTTTAAATGCTTGTGTGATTCTTGTGTTGAATTTATATACTACGTGTGTAGTCCAGAAACGCGCGCCAAAATAATTTTTCGATCTTGAAAACGCTAACTCTATTAAACTATCGCAGTAATATCACGAGTTAAATTGGTTAGCAATTTAAGAAATTTTTGATGCTTATTCGCATTTTCGAAACGATCTTAATTATGTTGAATGATATGTTGATTAATTATGTTGAATAACATATTAAAATCTGTTTAAGGCTTTGATTTCTATAGTTTGTGTTATCATACATACATCCTATAATATATTATATTGTTTATTTACGTTGTCTAAAGAGACATTGTTTCTTCATATACCAATTACTGCGAAGAATATTACTAAGACCTCGGTAGTCTAAAGGCTTAGGACACTCGCACGGAATGCAAGAGATCCGAGTTCGACTCCCGGCCGAATATTTTTCGCAATAAGAATTAATTATTTACAGATTTTAATATGTTATTCAACATTATTAAGATAGTATAGTAAGTAGTATATAAATTCATATAAGAATCATACAAGCATTTAAAATCCAGTCCCTAGACCGTTTAAGGCTTTAATTTCTATAGTTTGCAACTAATGTCGCAAAAAAAAAAATTATTAAATATAAGTTCGTCTGATGGGGGAACTACAATCAACTTAATATTGAGGCATATTGTTCTTCTATAATGACATTAATGAGAATTATAACTTTTCTAAGATATAAAAAGAAAGGGGATTATCTTTTCTGTTGACGAGGGTTATTTTAACAGACACGTACAGGAATGAACGCAAATCAGCCATCTAATGTCCGTCTGTCTATCTTATCTGTCGCATTTATCTCGGCAACCGAGATGCGCGCGGGAGTGGCATTTAAACGCCGTCGTGGGCGAAATGAGATGGAAATTACGAGGCACAATGATGAGTGACGAAAGTACGAGGTCATTCCTCATTCGAAGAGTATGAGAAAACCGGCGATGGAAGTCCACATCGTGAAAAACAGGTTGTATCGGCGTAGCGAACGGAAAACCACGGAAAACGGAAAACCATCCTAAGCGAGACAATTATAAATGAGCGTGTTAAATCAAACGGTGATCAATATTGCGTGTACTGCGAGAGGCAATAGCCAGTCCTTTATTGTCGCAAATGTCGACAGAAATTAGCCGTTTCTTAATTATTGTCACAAACTTTTTCAGCATCGTGAACGTGTATAATAAATTGCTTGCTTAGTAACAAAATGTGTTTCATTTTGTGGCGTTGTATGTACAACATTATAAACTGCGTAACATTCGCGGCAATTGCAAGTTTATATAAAAGAATCTGTACTTGACATATTACTCAAGAATTCATTATACAGAGCGATTTTGACCTACCTGACGTCTCTTCGCAAGTTCTCCAAAAACAATATACTAAAACAATTCATATTTGTATGAATGAATTTGGTTGCAGTGGAATTAAGATGAAAATAATTACAAATTGTAATTTCCAAAATCTAAATATTTAACGATAACGATAAAGAATATAATGAAACATTTTACATGAAATACAAAATATAATAAAACAATTACGGATTCTAAGTAGTGTATTAAATTGGGGTAATAATTATGCAATAGTTTGGCTAATTCTTCATTAGATTATTCAATACATTTACATTTTTCTTTTATATCATATATATCATTACATCAAGGAACAAATCAGCTAAAAGAATTTTTAAAAGAATTTTTAAATCAAGTTTCTAAGAATTATATACAAAAGAATTAAAAAGAATTTTTT